TTTCTTTATTATATGTTTGTAAATTGTACATTTTTTGCTTTAAAAATTATTAATTACGTTGTTCTTATCTTCCGGTTAAAATCTTTTTGCCTTTAGTAAGTCTGCATGCAATATTTGCGGAATTATCAACAATTTAAAAGTGTGGCTAAGCCTAATTAATTTTGTGATGGCGGACATGTTTGTTTACATTTTAAATTTGGCAAAATAGCGGATTTGTTGCCAATCTAGAGAAACTAAACTTCCCAACAACAAAGATAACGTCTTCTTTTATTATTGCGAATTCAATCATTTTTAATCCATTCTGGAATTTTATTCGAGGAAATAAGCGTTTAAGATGTACTTCGTAATTTTCAATATAGATATTTTGAGTTTTTATGTATTTTAGCCTTGTAGCGAAGTGCAGACTGAATTAATTGAATGAGAAATATTGAATCGTCTGTGAAAAACTTATTCTTTTTTATTTATTTATTTGTTTAATTTCTTTTATACATCGTTTTAGATTTATTACAGTATTTGAATAGAACATGTGGCAACGATTGTATAATTCTTCAAACGATATAAATTTATATGCATTCTGAGTCATAATATGAACGAAATGTAACGCTGTTAAGTGAACCTAGCGCCAGAGTGTCGCTATGGTAAGCAAATATAGTATAATGAATTTTAAAGAAAGCATTTATTTTATTGTGGTTTATGCGCTATCGACGAAGTAGATTTAATTCAATCCAATAAGTTTAAATGAAGTGCAAGGAAAATGCGTATAATTTAATATTCCGTGCAAGGAAGTGATGTGGTGTGTACACATTACATGTTTTTTACTTTTGAGATTTGGAAGCTGACACTTTTAAGTTGCCATAGAAACAAATTCCATGCATTTTTGTTGACGATTATTAATTTACGATCAATTTTAATATGGGGTGCAAAAACAAACATTTAACTTTTTTATTTTCATAAAAGCAAGGAAGCGGCTGAGGCTCACAAGTTAAAGCTTATGATGTTCATTGCTTAATAGAAAGCATGTGTCAGAACTGGTTTAAAAAATTTCGTTCTGGAGATTTTGTACTTGAAGATGACCAACGTTCTAGCCGACCTTCTGAAGTTATGATAACAAAATTAAAGCCATAGTTGAAACGAATCGTCATATAGCCGTGACAGAGATTGCAAAAAGGCTATATGTATCACACACAACTGAAAATTATACAAGATACAAGATGTCTTGTATTCATTAAAGTGATCGATATTAGTGCTCCGTATGAATTGAAAGAAATTCACTTTAACACAACGAATCAATTTTTCCAATACCCATTTTAAACGTAATGCCTAAATTATCTTTTTGAAACGAATTATCACTGGCGATGAAAAATAGACAGTCTGCAATAACATAATCGAAAAAAAAGATCCCGGTCCAAGCATCATGAATCAGCACAAATCATATCGAAAGCTAAATTGTATCAGAGAAAGATCATGCTGTCAATTCGATGGAGTTACAAAGGTGTTATGTATTTTGAGCTGCTTTCAAGCAACCAAACGATCAACTCAGATGTTTACTGCCAACAACTTATGAAATTGGAGAAAGTAATCAAAGAAGAAGAGCCAGAATTGGCAAATCGTAAAGTAGTCGTATTCCACCTCAACAATGCGAACCTTCACACATCTTCAGCAACTCGTACGAAATTATTGAAGCTTGGTTGAAGTTTTTTATCTCCCCATATAAGGCCTACCTTGCATCATTGGATTATCATTTAGTTCGAAGTTTACAAAACTTCTTAAATAGTAAAAATTTTAGTAATAACGATATACCTCAAATCGCGCTTGGTTGAGTTTTTTGTTGTAAAGACCAGAAGTTCTATGAACGCGAAATCGCGAAGTTAACATAAAAATGGCAAAAGACCATCGAAAAGAACATACCTAACTGATTACAGTTCACTTTTTGTATTAAAAAAAATCGAGTTTTATTTCACACTAAAAAAAAAAAAAAAAAAAAAAAAAAAAAAAAAAAAAAAACTTTATTGCCAACCCAATAATTTAGGGTGATTATAATTAAAGTTGCGATTTCAAAACGCTCTAACTTTAAAACGACTTGATATTTTACTAGAACAATCGTGAGGCAATGGAATTTTGTTTGCTGTTTGTTTATGTGAGTATCGTTTGCTTCATTTTATTGTTGCAAACAGCGTAAATTCCTTTTGTTTTTCCCCTTTAGTTTGAGGGCCAGCAATAATAAATGATCTTTACTTAAAATGTTTCACAAACAATAATCACTTAACACATGGACTGTATTCCTTCACTTTTATTTCATTACACTAATTAAAAATAAGATGTCAGCGATGCGTAATAATTGATACAAAATAAGCGAGCCATTCTACATGGCTGTCACAAACACAATTCTATCAATCAATTATCTTGTTGCCACACATAAAGTTCAAAACTAAAGGAAGAAAAACAAAAGAAATTTACGCTGTTTGCAACAATAAAATGAAGCAAATGATACTCACATAAACATCCTGGTCCTCGTTGAAATCCCAGAGGATTTCAACAGTTGGAGCATTTTGAAACTTCTTAGTCTGTAATAAAAGATAAACATAAGAAAATAATACAAAATATTATACGCGAAGCAGTTCATAGTTTTTAGTCTGAATAGGAAGAGGACACAATTTCACGACTGGTCGTTTTATGACATTATGACCAGTTTTAATACTAACAACTCTGACTCTATGATCTGAGCCCGGATGAACAGCAATTATTCTCCCTAACCTCCATTTAAGAGGCGGAAGATTGTCTTCTTTGATGAGGACTAAGTCATTGACTTCTAAATTGTTTTGACTTTTTTGCCATTTAGGTCTTTGCTGAAGCTGAGACAGGTATTCTCGACTCCATCTTTTCCAGAAGTGCTGAAAAAAAAACTGTTCTCACATGCCATCTGTCAAGGTGATTGAAGAAACTATAATTTAGGTCTGGTTCAGGTATGGCAGTTAAAGACGTTCCTATTAGGAAATGACCAGGTGTTAATGCAGTTAAATCATTTGGATCAGCCGATATTGGACACAATAGCCTAGAATTAAGACAAGCCTCAACCTGCGCTATCACGCGTCTGAAATTCCGGATAGGTTAGCACAGTATCACCAACAGTCCTTTTTAGATGTAATTTCATTGACTTTACTACCGATTCCCTTAGTCCACCAAAATGGGAAGATGATGGCGGGTTGAATATCCGTTTGTAGAAGGGCAAAAATAGATTTAAAATATGCCAATAGAAGGTGCTGTTCATAACATGCGCCCTGCAGACATGGCTAAGGTGAAATTGCAGAGCACTAACGGCACACATAATATTTTGCCTGAGTGCTTCATCATGACCCTGACTAAGAAGGATCGTGCTCTTCTCGTGAAGCTTTTCTCTCAGAATAGTGACTGTGCGTTAACAGCTATCAGGAAGTTTGCACATTAAAAGGCATAAAATCCAGCCCAAGGACCACATGTGGCTGCAGAAAATTATAGATAAATGCGAAGACTGGTTCATTTGACGTGAAACTAGGTATAGGACGGAAATCAATTTCGGATGTGGCAGTGGAAAATGTGGCCACAGCATTACCCCACAAGAGCAAACAAACAGTTATGCAGGAATCAGCAGTGCAAGGGGAATTGGCCGAATGTTAGATATGCCTGTCAGCATGGTGCGTAGTAAAGTCCTACAGAATATCTTGCGCTGTTACCTATATCAGATCACTCAAGTGGAGCAGTGGCTACCTGCTGACTTTTGATGCTTTAGTTGCGTATTCTGATGTTCAGCAGGAATTTATCCTGCTCTTACCAGAGCTTATCACGGAATCCCATTTGGGGCCTCACACATAACAGCTCTTCATAATTGTTTCACCATAAAGATGTGAACACTTCAGATTAATAAAATGAGACACCTTGTCTTTGCAGACTCACTGGCAGCTGAGAGTGTGATGAGCTACCTTGAGCAATAGCCTTGGAACATTCTGTGGTCTGACGAAGCTCATTTCATTTGCAAGGTTCTATAAATACCAATGCAGGATATGGGAGACCGATAATCCGTTTCCGCTACAGCGATTACCTCTTCACTCTGAAAAGGTCACAGTGTGGTGCGGAATGACGGCAGCATTTGTCGTCGGTTCGTTCTTTTTCGAGATCACACCTGTGGGTCCCTTACCTGCGCCTTACCATCAAGCGGTATGAAGTACTTTTGCGTAACCATGTCCTTCCGGTACTTCAGCAATGTCAATGTGTGGATCGCGAAATGTTCCTGCAAGATGGCTCTCCTTTTCACATTGCTACTCGTGTAAAGCAGCTGCTGATCTCTCATTCCGGTGACGGCAGAGTCATAAGCCGTCATTTTCCAACAGCCTGGCAGCCACGCTCTCCCGTCTTACACCCGTGTGACTTTTGGGAATATCTGAAGAATGCTGTTTATAGTAGGCGGATTGCAAATCTGGCCGATCTGAAAGCAAGTATCACGCACCATATTCATAACATCCGCACAGATACTCTCCGATCTGTTGTGGAACATGCAGTTTTGCGATTCCAATTAACAGCGGGACAAGAAGGAGAGCTTATCGAACAACTTATGCATTAATCATTCGGTAAGATGTTTGTTTCGTAAAGTTTCTCTTGTCATTACCGCTGTTTTCTCTGTAAATACGTATTCTTGTCTTTTCTTTTTTAACTTAGTTTGGAAAGACGTTAAAGTAAGTCAGAGTTATGCAGAATAAATAGGAAGTAAAATTTATTAATTATCAGGAAAAAACATCTGTTTTAAAACTGTTGCAAATATTACTAATTGAGTCCATGCAATCTTTGTTATTGGAAATGATTTATTTTCATAGCTGTAATTAACATATCCTTCCTAAATCTGAACATTTCGAAACATGAATTTCAATTATTAGGAAACAGACTTAATTTTTTGTCACTGTGTTAAAAGCATATAAAATTTTAATGAGTTTCACCCCATTTCCTTAGATTAATTACTTTTATAACTTCAGCTGAACGAGAAATTGGGAGAGAAATAAAGGAAACTCTGTGTTTCGTTTCTAAAGATTACGAACTTGACTTAAATATGGCAGCCAAGCACCCAGCAACAAGGACAAAAGATTACATTCTTCCAGATGGTCAGACATTGAAATTGACAAAGGAAATGTTCCAGAGTCCAGAAATCCTATTTACACCTTCAGCAGCTGGCAGGGAAGAAAATGGAGTTCAGGATCTCATCTTAAGCACAGTGGCGAAATGTGACATCGACCTGAGGAAGAATTTATATTCCAATCTAATAATCACTGGAGGAAATACTATGTTTCCAGGGTTCTCGGATCGACTGAGAAAAGAACTTCGGAGCAAGGTCAATCAAAAAACTCCAGTTTGCCTCATTGCACCCGAAGAAAGAAGATTCATGGTATGGCTTGGTGGTTCTATCTTGGCCTCTCTTTCAGCATGCAAAAAATTATTTATAGCTAAATCCGAATATGATGCTGAAGGATCTAAAATAATCCACAAAAAATGTCTACTTTAATTTAATTTAAATAAATAGTCAAACAAATAAATATTTGCTTTTTTATTTTTTAAATACATAAACATGTAATCTTAGTAGTTTATGCAAAGGTTGAAATATCTTGATGGCTATCACCAATAAAGAATTCATCTATTTTTAGAAGACTTCTACAAATCCTATATAGTTGTAAGACCTTACAACTTTAATATTTAGGACTTACGCTCTCTTGCCTATTAATTCATTACAATCTGCAACCGTGTTCTAAGCGTATTTCTCACTACAAAAAAAGGAGAAATTAAACACTATATCCATTCCTAAATCAATTATTCTAAGAATTCAAATACTTCATATTTATATCTGACATCAAATTCGAAATAATTTAAACAGGGCGATTATTTTTCTGACTTAGGAAGTCAAATTCAAGAAATGTCAGTCCATCTATGGTGAACTAGATAAAACCAGAGAAAATGTTGCTACTTTTGATATCCATTTGCTGGAATGTGCCGAGTTCATGGGGATTTGCAGATTTTATAGGCGCAACATAAACCTAAACCAATTTTCCGTCAGTGGAAATAGCATTTACTCAAGAAGTATGAAATACTAACCATATTAGTGCCATTATTTGCCATTTATAGCAATCAAAAGCTAAGGACGTTCCTTTCTAGGCAAACTTTCCAAGAAGGATGCTTTCTTTGTGTATGACTTCCTAAGTTAAACTGAATCATAGTCCCTTACCCATGGAAAAAATTTTTAAAATCTTGTACTATCAACTGTCTCTTTCAGTTAGCTATCACCATATAGAGGTTTTATCTATTAGCTCATAACACAGGCGTAATTTGTTTCAGATTCATTGAAATTTTCATAACCACCAACTGAAGGAGTAATAAGGATGCAAAGGGTGCTTGAAAATATAAAGGAGACGATTAACTGGACCCGTTGCTCAGTTAGAGATAAGCATGTTTATTTTGATTGTTCACATTTAGCAGTCTAGAAATTTGATTGCTTCAACTTAATATTCGGATGAGATAAGATACATAGTTCTGATAAATAATGATAAAAACAATGACAGTACACAAGATTAAAGACTTAGTTTTCAAAGAGTGCTAATTGATTTAATGTTCGGCTTCACATTTAGCGATTTAGCATGAGTTCAGAACAAATTTACAGGATTTAGCATTTAAAATAAAAATAAGATTTTATTTACACTTCTCACTCCTTTCAATTGCATTCATTGTTAATTTCTCTTTGGATGATAACATCTCTGAATTAAAGTAAGACGAAATTTTTACTACTTATATACAAAAAATTTCTGACCTGTTATTAAAGTTACCTAAAATAGTATAATAAATTATATACTTGGGTTAAAAAAGATAATTTTTATAGTGCATCGACACTAAATGTAAATTTAAAGAAAAATTACAGTAATATTAAGTATGATTGATACTTAATAATTATTAGACTACATTTATGATATATGTGTCATAATCCAGAATCAATACGTCTTTAGTATCAAATTGAACACAGAAGTCCAGTTACAAACTGGTAAGCAAATATTATGGACAAAATGGATAAATGAATGCAAGAGCGGATCGAATAGATAGAATTGAATCATGACACTTGCAGTGCACTACTTGATCGATATCACGTTTATCTACTGCTAGAGACTGCACACAAATAATTTTTTCACTTGGCCATTGACATTCGTCCATCGGAGATGTCATATTTCCGTAATGGTAGAAACATACTAACTAGGCACCTCAGCAGTGGAGGTAGAGTAATCTTTATGACTGAGAGCCGATTTAATCTCAGTAGCGATTCCAGACATCTTAAGATCTAGAGACAGTGGTAGACATATAATCGTCCTTTCAACAACGCTGAATTCTAGAAGAGAAGTTCTTATTTAAAGAGGCATAATGTTTGGTAATCATGCAGTGCTTCACATTTACCAAGGAGGATCAGCCATTACTGATAGCTATTTTATCTAGGTCCTTCTTCCTTACGTAAATCTTTTCATGCCTGCTGTGGGCCCCGAGTTTCTCTTCATAGATCACAAAGTCATATTTACTCTATAATGATTGTCAGCGAGCTATTGTAGAGTGAAGATATTTGCACGTAGATTAGCCTGCATAGTTCTCGGAGCAAATTCAATCAAGCACGCATGAATATTCTAGGAAGACGCCTGATAGCACATTAACAATAAGGATTTTAGAACTGCGATGCAAGAAAAATGAGCCAATATATCTTTGTCAATAACTCTGCATTGAGTGCGAACAGATAATGCAAATCTTGCATAGCAAACAGTGTGACTTCATTTTTCTTGCCTTCTGTGTTCACAGTCCTCTTTCGAATAAAAGTGGTTTGCATTTTGGGGCTTTCTTTTTTAATTAGTATTGTTCATTCAATGTTAGACAACATTAACGTAGTCTTACATCTTGATGACACTATGGTATGCTTTTCATCGATCTGAAACAGAGATGTGGAACATTACATGTAAAAACTTATCCTTAAATTTTTGTAAAGTGTGTGGATGTAATGTTCCAAATTCCCGATAACCAAGTAATTAGATAAATCCAGAGACTACAGGATTATATAAATATTCATTATCCAAAAATATCCTCTCATGAGAATGATGTACATTTGAAATCAGTGGTAGCTTTTGGCCAATTTAACAGAATCAATTCTTATAATGTTACATCGAATATCAACTATAAAACAGAATTTAAAAACTGGTGAATTCTTAGCATGCGCAGAAAACAAATATTCATTATTTATGAAACAACTGTTGCACTTCAATAATTGAGTTCTTATATTTGATAGCGAAACTAAGCATGTTTGGTCAGAATTTTTACCTTTCCCAAAGAAGAAAAGGTTTTGCTGAAAATCATCTTACTGCAGGAAAATGGTCTAACACTACACTCTTTTTTCTATTGTACAAGCAATATCCATTTCATGTGATAATAAATATACTAATCACAAACTAGATGTTTTTGAAAATCACATAAGGTACGCTGAAGACATAAATAACATACTTTATAACATATTTAACAAACTGAATCAAATTTCAAGATTTAGAAATAAATACATTTTATTTTCCATATAAAAATTTTGGAATCATTTCTCATTCATGCAAGCATATATATATATATATATATACTATCATCAACTTAAGTAAAACATAATAAGATTACTTACTTCAAAGCATTAGATTATAAATTTGGTAAAACATTGAGGAAGTGTTCTTGATCAAGCAATTTTATAAAATCAAATGCAAAGCAATCATCAAAAACAATGGAAATAATTCTGTTCACTTAAAAATACATAATGTTAAAAAATGCCTAATGAATTTTTATGAACAGGAAGTTCAAAATTGTAAATATACTGCATATTGATGCAGAGCTATTTTACAACTTTTCTGGACAATGTCCACTTGTATCAAAAAGCTTGCTTTCGGTGATCAAAACTTGTAATATTTCTAGAGCAGGGGTTCTCAACCTAGGGAATTTCATAGTTTCAGGGCCAAGGGGAGGATTCAATCTTTTATTTAGCCGTTATACATTAATTTTAGTTTATCAATATAAAATGGTACTTTTATTCAAGTTTTGGTATTTATCTTTACTTTTTATATCCTTGTTGTTTAAATTATAAAAGATGTTAAAAAATAATCTACGTATATACAGTATGTATTTTTTTAATCTTAAAAATGAAGGAGAAAGGATGATTTTTCTAGCAATGCAAGGAATAAACAGACTGAGAACCACCGTTTTAGATTATCTTCGGAGATTCAGCAACTAATTTTAATTAATTGTTTATCAATCAATAAAAAGGTCAACCATAGCCTCTTCTTCCCTTCCTAATATAAAATTCAGTATCAAAATATTTTACTTGTAACTCTAAAATAAAAAAAAGAATAAACATTTTAAAATTTCTTTTTGCAGCATTAGGATATTCAGGTTCCTTTTAAAGTAAAAAACCGTACACTTTCCAGTTCAAACAAGTTGAAAATTGTTCTTTTAATAAGTCACTGAAATTATGTAACATTTGTCTACTATTACCAAATTAAAAAAATATTACTATTTTTTTTTTAAATATTTATCATTGTTATCATCATCACCTCCCTCTCTCTTTCCTTTTAATACAAAGAAAGTAAAAGCAATGATAAGAATGATCCTCTACAACCAATAATTTTAAGTTTTCTTTTTAATACACTGAAATAGATACCATTAATCATTATACTCAGTAACTTTTCCAAAATAAAGACTGCACTCAAAAAGTTTCAGCTATTTAAATTTTACTCTTATGAAAACTTTAGTATTTAACAGTATTCTTATACATGTATAACAGCAAAGAAATATTATAATTATCTAGTAAAGAACACTAACATGTGCTATTACTTTTAACTTAAATAAATAAAACCATAAAAACACAGAAAATAACGCAGAAAAATTAAATAAAAAATTACACTTTAATTTTCTTTGTTACAGGTTCAGAACAATCAATTTCATTTGAATAAAACAAAACTGATTCTGGAATTGCATAAGCAATTCTCATCATCTTTTTGTTTGGAGCAACAACTCTAACAGGAGTCACTTCTAGATGTTTTTGAAAATCATTAGCAAAATAATTTTGTAAAACATCAGTAACTTTTTCATCCTTTTTCAAAAAGAAATAACAGTAGATAATTGGCATTTTGATGTCTTTCAATTCATGTCTACTAAGAAGACCTTTAAATGTTTTTAAAAATTCCAAAGCACAAGCAGGAAGATTCATTATAATATGCACAGAAATGCTATTTAACTCAGTCCAGTGTTTAATGAGATAATCTTTAATGACAGTTTTAATAAAATGATGTCCATCTAAATTATACGCTTTAAGGGAGGACTCCACTTTATTTAGCTTAGCATTATGGCACAACCAATGAAAAGAATCAGGGTTTAAGTCATTTGCATAAACAAGGCATCTCTTTTTAGCTAAAGGAATTGCAAATGGGCCGACACCTGCAAATACATCAAACACCACATCACCAGAATTCGCCTTTTTCACAATTTCTTCATGTTCATGAACCAAACGAGGATTCCAAAATACTTTAGAAAAATCAAAAGTATACCTAAATCCATTTTCTTTTACAGTAACTTCATAATTTGGTTCTCCAGCTAGCAACTCCATATGAAAATTACGAAACTCATTTTCAATTACTTGAGCTTTGTTAACAACTGTCTTAATATTTGAAAATTTATCCAGAAAAACTTGCCCAATGAGATATTTATAATCTAGTAGTTCAGGTTTCAAATTTAAGTGGATAATATGGCCAACTATACTAAAACCAGAAACATTACCAGTTGTATGAGCAGGTAATACAGCTTTAAAAATATTTTCAGGAGTCCAGTTTTCATAGCCCAACTGTATGCTTGTCCAAGAAACATTAAATGGCAAATCTTTTAATGTTTGTTCAAGATGAGCCATTTTTTCATTAAATAATCCAGGATGGAGAAATATTTTTCTCTGATTTCCTTCTTCTTGAACAGGTTGCAAATTTCGCATTTTTAAGAGATATGGTTTTAAAACTTTAAGAGCTAGCTTCATTTTTTCAACTGAAATAAAAAGAGTTGGAATTTGAATTTCTTTTTGAAAAGCATCACGGTCTAATATTGTCATTCCATGCACTTTAACTGGTGGAGCCAGAACATCAATAGGATTTGATTTAACAGAACTCATGCTTAAAAATGAAGTATTAAATTCCCAAACCAAAGTTTTAGTAATCAACCTAGAACAGCTAAAATCCCAGTTATATGCTTTCCTCAAATGCACAGCACATTTAGAAATCTGAAAAAAAAGTAAGATAATTTCTTTAATTATACAATGAACATTTTACATGCCCAACATTCACCTATACACAACAGAAACAAAATTAAGCTATGTAATAAAAATATTTTAATCAAATAATACTTAGGTATGCCATTTTCCAAATAAAATTAAAACACCTGAAAATATGCAATATAAAAAATAAAAATATAAGCACATTATGAATAAAACACTTATCAATTTTATAATCTATAGTTAGGAATAAATACAGATTTTCAAATTAAATAGTTACATATTAAATATATGTTATCCTCAACTGAAATATTTTTTTGAGTAAATTACATACAGTACAAAGTCTTTAATCTGGACTCGTCGGAACTTCGCCGATTCCGAATTAGGGGTTTTTATGGATTATAGATCATCAATTTAAATCTGGTAAGATGGCATGCAGAAATTATAAAATTAAAAATATGAAACCATAATTTATGAAATAAAGAGCAAGTATGATCTAAAAGGTATCAAAATTTACAAAAAAAAAAAAAAAAAAAAAAAAAAAAAGCAGCAGCTTAATATTTATTTGTTTACTTTATTAAACATTTCTTTCAATGTAAGTTTTTTAAGTTGCTTCGTTTTTTGTGCTAATACTTTCTCTTTAATTCTATAAACAGACATAATTTCTTGTTCAGTTCCACTGCTCAAGTCCTGTAATTGCTGTGTCGAGAATACCGATTAACTTGTCAATCAAAATTTTTTCATTTTCAATAACCTCTCTGTCACTTTCTTTACTAACGGAAGCGGTACATTGAAACATGCTTTCACTTTGTAGATCCTTTGGCAGCTCCAGAATCGGAAATAAAGAGCAAGTATGATCTAAAACGTATCAAAATTTACAAAAAAAAAAAAAAAAAAAAAAAAAAAACGTAACTTGTCAATCCTTTGGCAGCTCCAGAATCGGAAACTCTTTTTGACATACCCGAAAGTTCAAGCTTACGTTTTATAAAATTGCTCTAATAGTCTGCAAAAAATAATAAGCCGGATCCAATTATATGATTGAGAAACAACGCAACCTGCAACATTAACTGAAATAGATAATTAGATAATTTTAGCCTATTTTATACCGCCCATTATACATTAAACGCACACGCATACGCAGAAAGTTTGTAGCTTTGAGGTCCGGATTAAAGACTTTGTACTGTATTATCCCATCAATGCAAAACTGTCAGCAAACAGTGCAATCTAGTGTTAGTTATGGATAAGCATGATATAAGAACATGCTCATAACATCTGTGCTTTCGTTTGGTGTAAACCTGATTGATTCTCGATAAGTCTTTTTTTTTTTTTTTTTTTTTTATGAATAAGGATATAAATTAACTATTATTACTGATACTTTTTCCTTGTATTTTGACAAAAATGATCCAGATTTGGAACCTGCCTTCTACAGAAAAACAAGCAATAGATTATTCTGAAAGCTTTGGGATCTACTACCCCCCCCACACAAAAGTATATTAATAATATAGTGAGCTCAATACGGGCAACAGAACAGGAATAAACTGGAACAATTACCGATGGGAAGTTTGTACTTCCCTTAATTCTAAACAGAACCTGCAGATAAGAACAAATGTTTTTAACTTATTCAGAACAAGTTTTTAACTTATTCTAAACAGAACTTCCAGTTAAATTTTAGGATCTAATAAAAATTATGAAAATCAATGAAAGTCTTATTACAAAGCAAAAAAAAAAAAAAAAAAAAAAAGAAAGAAAGCATGTCAAATACTGATTGTTTATTAAATAAAGAAGTGTCAAATCCTTTAGAATTCCATAGGAACAACTGGCACAACTTTGGAAGGCTCTTTGTCAACTTTTATAACCTGATGGTAATTAACTTTCATGGCTAATGGAATAATCCATAAACACCCTTGTTTCATTCCACATTATTTATACTATTTATCAATTTACATAACTGCTTCGTAAAGTGTGCATCACAACCCCTTGGAGCATGCAGACATTTTAGCAAAATTAAAAACTTCTGCACCAATGATGTTCAAAATTTACCTAAAAACTAGTTTGGCAATGCTACACATATATGTGTATGCCTGTGAGTTTGTGATGGTGAAAGAGCACTTGTATGACCTTTGACTGCTCCCCAAACCTCCTGATTATCATTCCAAAACAGGAATGTCTGTAGTTGGCTCCATATGAGTAAAATTTTTCACCTAATTTTGCCCTCTTTATTTCTACTGCCAGCAAGTGATGGTAAACCTACTTTCTCACCAACATTCCTTTTGAATTAGTACATCTAGTGTTTGTTTGTTTTGTAAGAAGAAAATTTTCTTTTTAAAAATCTTTAGCTCTTTTCACTAGCTATTTTTTGCAATAGACTTTTTTTTTAATGAGAAAAAGTTCTTTCTAGAACTATTAATATATTTATTGTTTGCCTGCTTTATGGGGAGGAAGAAGCATATTTTTATTACATTATTTTACTTGTATCATAATTTATTCTTGTTTTGTAATTGAAATTATTCCAAGCACTCTGTAAATTTATACAGTCAAAAGTCGTTAATTCGGACACCCATAATCCAGAATGATCTATAATCCGGACCTCAAAGCTACAAACTTTCTGAACATGCGTCGCGTTGACGAATGCGCGTAAGACCTTTATGGCTGCGAATATGTGTGTGTGCGTGCACAAAATACGTTTACGAATGCGCGTTTAATGTATAACGGATGGTATAAGCTAAAAATTATCTAATTCAGTTAATGTTGCAGATTGCGTTGTTCCTTAATCTTCGAATTGGATCCGGCTTATTATTTTTGCAGACTGTTAAAGCAATTTTTTAAAAAGTAAGCTTGAACTTTCGATTATGTCAAATAGAATTTCTGATATATATTTACTAATATGTAAAGGATCTACAAAGTGAAAGTATGTTTTGAAGTCCATTAAACAAAAAGTGGAATTGCTGCAAAAAGTGGATAAAGGCATATCCTTTGTTTATCTAACCATTCCAAAATCTGTTTATAAATTTCACGCTGCTGTGAGGCAGAGGGGGGGGGACGCTTTGGCGTGCAATGAATTGGAAGTTGATCTGTCAGCACTATCCTTATCTTCAGGGCAGATGTTTTTATTTTATTTGGCTTATAATTCCTTACTAAATGTAATATTTCATCTCGATGTACTCCGTCTTTGATATGATTTAAATCAAATTCCTCGTCATTATAATTCGCTTCCGATAACGAAGAAAGTGACACAGAGGTTATTGAAAACGAAAAACTTTCGATTGACAAATTAGTTGGTATTCTCGACACAGCAATTATAGGACTTGAACAGCAGAACTTCGTAACTGAACAAGAAATTATGTCTGTTTATAGAATTAAAGAGAAAGTATTATCACATAAAAAACGAAGCAACTTAAACAACTTACATTGAAAGAAATGTTTAATAAAGTAAACAAATAAATATTTAGCTTTTTTTTTTTTTTTTTTTTTTTTTGTAAATTTTGATACCCTTTAGATCATAATTTTTCTTTATTTCATAAATTGCGGTTTTATATTTTTAATTTTATAATTTCTGCATGCCATCTTACCAGATTTAAACTGATTATCTATAATGCGGAAAAATCGATAATCCGGAATCGCCGAAGTCCCGACGAGTCCGCATTAACCACTTTTGACTGTATCAAGTTAAGATATAATATTCAATCAAACATATAATTTTATATATTCCTGCATTGTGTCAATTTATACAAAACTGTACATAAATTCTATAATTTGTCGATTATGTCTTTGAAACCAAATAATTTTCTACATTTAGTCATAAATTCTTGGAACCTGATTACTGGTCAGGCCTAGCCTATGGCTCCCAAATCATGTTAGTATAACTCTTTGTTTCCTTTTCAATCAAAGAAAATATGGTACTGTTCGGTTTAGAGGGCCGTAAAAAAATTGCAGCGAAAATGTATGCGCAAAAGCGCCAAATCTAGCAAACGCGCCCATTGAACAGCGCCCCAAATCTAGCGTATGCATTGATTTCAGATTGCGTAAGTTGATATAGTTCTATATTTCTTAAGCCGACATTGAAATACTAATATAATTTTTAAATCCTTTTTTTTATTTTAAATCCTTTTTTGATATCCTATAGATTTAACAATTTGGGAATTGCCCATGACGAAAAGTCGGCAATAAAATTTGAGGTGAAGTGCAGAATCACCCACTGCTTGACGCGTTTTTAAAAATTGCACATACTCGGTATCCATGCGCACATCGACCTATTTTCACTTAAAAAAAATCCTAGGATTGAACAAAAATGGCACTGCGCACACCCTTGACTTTATCTATGTACACATCGACATATTTTCACTTAAAAAGTAAAAGAAATTTACAAAAATCCAATTGTTTTTACCCTTGTAAAAAGAGGCAAACAAATAAGTGAGCGATTCTGCACGTTACCGAGAATGTTTTCAAAGAAAAGGCATCATTCATAATAGAAAATGACGTTTGAACAACCAACGAGATGAAATTATGCTTTAGCGATAAGTCGGTAGCGAAATAGCGATGAAGGCATCCATTCAGTTATGTTTAGCAATTTTTATATAAATTATAATAATGATCTGAAACAGTTATTTACTCTTATGCTTCCATTCAGTCATGTTTAGCCTTTTTCATATAATTATAATAATAAAAAAGTATGAAATGTAATTAATCTTTCATCTAAATTAAAACATCAATCTTAAATAGTTATTTACTATTATACTTCCTTTCTTGCCGCAATTATTTTTGGTAGCATTGGCATCAACAATAGTTTGGCGATTTTTTACGGCCCTCGAAATCGAATAGTACCGAAAATATTTATGTATGTAAAAACGGTTGCCAAGTAGAAAAGTTTACCATTTACACAAACCAATAATGGCATAAACCATTATAAGAAAAAGCATACCACTTTAGTTTTCTTTAATGAAATAATAGCCTTCCTCATTATTTATTTCAATGGTTCTGCATAATAATTTGAAGTAAATTTTACTATTTACAGTACATATAAAATATTTGCAAGATACTACATTACAGTATTCACTTTGTAACAATGTATGGTACTTTCTAATTAATCCCACTCTCATAAAAAAAAAAAAAAAAAAAACACATAAAAAAGTATTCATGAAGCACAGTATGTCACCAAAATAATTACGTGGGAATTCACCATGTTGCTAAAAAGTACATATATGGTAAACCAGGCATATGCCTGTTTTGGCTAGGGCACAGTTCCAAAATTGTACAGATACCAAGTCTACGCAATTCTTTGATGCTTTTTAAAGGAATACAGATTGCTATGTTCATAAGATAACAACAGTACGTAAAAAAAAAAAAAAAAAAAAAAAAAAAAAAAAAAAAAAAAAGATTTTTCAAAAATGGTAAGTGTTCCATTATTAGTATTTTTTTTTTTTTTCTTTTTTAATTTTATTGATTGATTGCTTTTTTATGAAATTCTTAGTCTGCCACCATTTTGAAAATGAACTTGCCTTTCCCACTTGGAGAAAAATTAGTCAGCAGTGAGTTTACAACTTTTGGTGTGGGTACAGGTAATCAAAAAGTACCCATTTATTAAGCAAATTGCATGTTTCATATTCATCTGATAAATTAAATCTCTTATCTCAAAGCAACTAATTGTTCTTCAGGCTGCCTAAGCAGGCATCAAGCAACTAAACGAAGCAAAAAATTCCTAAAAAATGACTTTTGATACAATATTAACAGTGTAGCTGCTATTGTACGGTCAACTGCTGTCAAGTTGTTTATGAGTAATACATCATTGGAGCATACACTGAAACTATAACAAAAAACAGTAGTAATAATGTTCAAGATATTTCTTGTTAAATTAATATCATACGATGTAAAGATCAAGATAATGCTCAAAGCAAAACTACTATCTGCAAATAAAATATGATTATGGCTTCCCAATATACTAATTTGTTACATGATCCTGTAAGAACTTTTATGCTCTTTGTTGAGAATAATTCTTTTAATAGCTCATGTCAAAAAAAATCTTTGAAGCACATTTATTTTAAAGCAGGTCTTGGTTTTGCTTATCCTACAGGACCACATAAATTCTTTGCTTTTTGTTATCAAAAACTCAAGATTTTTCAAATGTGACACATTTTTCATTTTTTATATTACATTTTCCCTAAAAATATATTTTACATAGACTAAATACAATTTATCATTGATTAAAATTTCAACCATCAATAGTGAGCGATTTCATGAGAAGTAAGGTTAAATGATTCTAGCAAAAGCAGTCAGAATATGAAGGTTCATATAAAAAACATTACAATATTAATATTTCCAAAATACATATGTTGCATTTTATGCTGTAGGATAATTAATGCATAAATAACTGATTTATATTCATAAGATGGTACGACTGTAAATTACAATCTCATTTATTATTAAAAAGTTTAAACAATAAAATTAAATAATCAGTGCTTATTTTGCTATTATTAGCATAGTAGTAATAAAGTCTTGCAGAATCAATCCTATTTTAAAATATAAATATTTGATTTTTTACTTTATTTTATCAGATTTTGTAAAAAAAAGACCTTAGTTTCCCTTAAAAGTAAATCTCTCATTTTTATTTTGTTACAATGAAATAAATACTTTAGATATATTATAATCATATATATTACCTAGCAAATTTGCATTGCACTTGTATGTAAAGCAATTAAATAAATAAAAAAACAAAACATTTGGAGAGTATGAATATTTTTATAAACTAAACATTTGCTAGAGGAGATAAAAAAAAGAAACTCTACAGAAATAATTATATACCTGGATTAGTTTAGATAAACCAGAGAACATTTGATGAAAATGCAATTTGTCTTCTTCAGATCTGAAATTTATATATTATACAATTCTAGCTGGCAGCAGTTAGTTATTTCAATGTTGAGATGTTTTTGGCAGCAGAAAATATAATTTTTAAAATTATTTATCAGTTCCCTTCAAGAAAAGGCCCTTCCCATTTTCCACTGCATTTCTATGACGACTTGCATTATGATAAATGAAACAAGAACTCGGATAATGCTTGTAAACATCGAAGATAGCAACTCTGTCAAATTAACAATTACTTGATTGTAAAACACCTGTCAAAAAACAGAAAAATTACTTTTAAAATGAAAAATAATTCCAAAGTATTCTTTATATTAACAGTAAAAGAATAAAAAGCTACAAATACGAATTGCATTTATTAGGTAATAAATCATAGTATTACCAAAAAAAAGTTGCCTGCTATGTTGATTCAGTAATTTTTCTTTGTCTCCAATGAATATCTCCAATAAGTTGATATCAGACAGCAAAAACATTTCTGCAACCCACCCCACAACCACCACCTAACAGAGCATTTATAAGAGTTTCGACTTTCAAGATTTTGATATAGTTAGAAATCCCATTACCTATCTTTCTTCCTAACTGCAGGACCAGCAGAGATTTCAAGGAAATTCTTTCTTCTTTAAGCAATGGAAATCAAACTCATTTTGAAAGAACACATTTCTAGGAAAAACTACCTACTGAACTTAATACTGTTTACCAAATTATTACTTATATATATTTGCTTTTTAAATTTTAATTCATTTGATATTAATTAGTTAAATTTTAATTTATTTACAAAAATTCTAAATAGATATTGAAGTTGATTAAAACTTAACCAAAATAAAATGCTTACAGAATAAAAAGATGAAACATTTATATTCAACATCCAACAGCAAAAATTTAAATAAAATTCCACATAATAAAGTAAGGTAAAAATATATTTATGGGTGCCCTTTGGTGAAAATTGGCAATACATGGACACCCAGTTTGTGCAATTCTTTGACTTTTTATTTTGTCTTTTTGTAGCAGCAATTTTTACAACCAAAAAGCACCGTTACACAAAGCCAAAATAACAAGTCAAAGAATTGCACAAACTTGGTATCCATGTACACACAGACTTATTTTTACTTAATAAAACATGCGAGAATTGCACAAACTTGGCATTGTGCACTATCTCGACTTTGTCCATGTACACTTTGATCTATTTTTGCTTAAAAAGTCAAAGGAGCTGCAAATTCTACTCTCGAGCCAAATATAAAAGATGTAATCTTAATAAACTGCATTTTAAATAAAACAATGAAATAACATAAAAAAGGAAATTTATCTTAGCACTACACATAGTAAATATCCACTTAACCTTATTTAGAAATTTCCATGTCTTCAGTCAAACAAAATTCTTTAATAGCATTCAAAAATTTACTAAAATTATGTGAACTAGAATCTGCATACTGGCATCACCACATAAATTCACAAAAATAAAAGTAAAAAATATTCTCCTTAGTATCAGTATCCTTCGACCATAAGCATTTCCTTCATACAAACAGGACACTTTAATGGCTACTGAGTAAACTTTCATTAATACATCAGTCAATTAATACTTTTTTCTCTTTTATTCTAAATCATACAGAAATTCAAATTAATCTAATCACACCAACACACTTACAAATTTTTTCCTATTATTTAAATTCAACGCAATCACGAAACCAATTACGTCATAATAGGTTTTCCATAACATTCTCATTCAGCTACTCAGGTTCCAAAAATGAAACAACAACTTAATCAATAGCATGCTTAAATAACTTTCCACTTTCTAGAATTTCAATAGTAACATTAGATGCATTTAGATAGCCCTCAGTCACTAAGCATAAATAAATATTTGAATTAAGGTTAAAACAATTATAATATTTTAAAGTTTTTAAAAGAATATCCAAAAAGTCCCAAAATTAAAAGATACACATCATTAAAGTGAAAGAGATCAGGAGTATTAAGCAGTATCCAAAAGAGGACTTTGTGCGTGCTTACACAAATACAGTCAAAAGTCGTTAATTCGGACACCCATAATCCGGACCTCAAAGCTACAAACTTTCTGCACATGCGTCGCGTTGACGAATGCGCGTAAGACCTTTACGGCTGCGAATATGTGCGTGTGCGTGCACAAAATACGTTTACGAATGCGCGTTTAATGTATAACGGATGGTATAAGCTAAAAATTATCTAATTCAGCTAATGTTGCAGATTGCGTTGTTCCTTAATCTTCGAATTGGATCCAGCTTATTATTTTTTGCAGACTGTTAGAGCAATTTTATAAAATTAAGCTTGAACTTTCGATTATGTCAAATAGAATTTCCGATATATATTTACTACAAAGCGAAAGTATGTTTTGAAATCCGAAATCTGTTTATCAATTTCACGCTGCTCTGCGGCAGAGGGGGGGGCAGAAACGTCATTATTAGATTATGATAGATTAGAAAGATTATGTCAAATAGAATTTCTGATATATATTTACTAATATGTAATTTGTATCTACAAAGCGAAAGTATGTTTTGAAATCCGAAATCTGTTTATCAATTTCACGCCGCGGATTGGAAGTTGATCTGTCAGCACTATCCTTATCTTCAGGGCAGATGTTTTTATTTTATTTGGTTTATAATTCCGTACTAAGTGTAGTATTTCATTTTGATGTACTCCGTCTTTGATATGATTTAAATCAAGTTCCTCGTCATTATAATTCGCTTCTGATAGTGAAGAAAGTGACCCAGAGGTTATTGAAAACGAAAACATTTCGATTGACAAATTAGTCCGTATTCTCGACACAGCAATTATAGGACTTGAACAGCGGAACTTTGTAACTAAACAAGAAATTATGTCTGTTTAATAGAATTAAAGAGAAAGTATTATCACATGAAACGAAGCAACTTACATTGAAAGAAATGTTTAATAAAGTAAACAAATAAATATTAAGCTTTTTCTTTTTGTAAATTTTGATACCCTTTAGATCATAATTGTTCTTTATTTCATAAATTACGGTTTCATATTTTGAATTTTGTAATTTCTGCATGCCATCTTACCAGATTTAAACTGATGATCTATAATCCGGAATCGCCGAAGTCCCGACGAGTCCGGATTAACGACTTTTGACTGTAGTTCATCTGCCGAGACAATCACTAATGGAGGTTCGGAGTATTTCTGATTACCCCATGTGATACTACTCATCAGCACTGGCACTGGAAATATAGTCTATAACTTCACTTGCAAACTGCTGGCAAAAGTTGAGGAATTTGACATGTATGACCCTTCCCATTTCTGAGCAAGCAGCAGGAATTACTGTTTTCTGCGAGTCAAAGGCAATCCTGGATGGAAACTCCAGGAACACCAACAGAATCCACTTTTGCCTAAATGAGTTTCAAAAGTTAAATAAGGTTTGCATTATTCACTGGCTGTCAGCGTATATCAACATCATACGCAAAGAGAGTGCAGATAAACTGGCAGAGGCTCAAAATCTCAACAATAATAATAATGTAAATATTGCCCTCTCATATACAAATGCCATGGCCAAATACAGATTGAAGGAGCTTTCAGTAACAATAAAGCAACAGCTCCATAACATCACTGGAGATCGAATTATAACTAAAACCACAGAACTGGCCATCACAGAGGATTGAAAATTGACAGACTGGGTAGGAAAACCTACAGGAACTATGATAACTGCCCAGATACAGAACTGACAATTGCACACAATTTTGATTGTCCAGCCATCATTTTTGAATTGTTAAAAGTCAGGGTCTTGTTTAAGAGATCGAACCTCTAAGACGATAATGTTTTGCAGATTGCCAGGGTTGTCATCTTTGCCTATGGCAAAATTTAAATGGGCTTTATAATAGACATGACAACAACAACCACATAAAATTATTGGTCCAGAATACCGCAAATCAACATACTGTGATTCATGACTAAAATATGCAGATTAGAAAATTATTAGAAATTAGCACTACTGATGGATTATATTTTAAGAAATTTTGAATATGAAAGAAATTTAGAAATGCAAAATTTTCTGGTACTTTTCCGTTTCGCCGACGCAAATCTCGCCAACCAGACTTTATTGGCGACAACATACAGTATACACATAAAAAATATTTAAAAAAAAAATGTTAGTTTTAAGAATTCTTTTTTAAAGGCATAAACATTTTAATATCGCTTAAAATTTTATAAAAAACCAATAAATAAAGACAATAAATTTGTAAAAAGACATTAATTTAAGAATTTACTATGCTTTCATGGTTCAGCATCCTGATTCGCCGGTTCATATCACGTGACCCCAAGCGATCTCATGTAAACTACTCTCTACAAAAATCTAATGCTCTCAATAATTATCTACATTAATTTCAAGTTAAATCTTAATTTGGAACACAAGTTTAAATGCAAGAAATATTTCAATTCATACGAATAGCTTACTCAGAAATTATGTAAAACTGCAGTGCTTTACTTCGCTAATGCATTCTCATTAGAATTGATGAATTTAACTCATGACTTTACCTTTTCTATATTTTCGGCTTCGGGTAAGCGCTGTGATTGCATCCTAATTGACTTAATTACCGAAAATGGCCTAGGACATAAAACTGAACTATCTGATAAAAATTCTATGTAATTATATGTCAGTATTGAAAGAAACAATCAATCTGATAAGAAAAAGCTGCGACTTGTTTCGAAAATGAGGCGTAAAAGGTTACCAGCGAGAATATTCTGTTTGGCATCGGTTGACCATTATTAGCGACTTTATCGCTTGCACCAGCAAAACGGAAATGTACCAATTTTCCTTATCTTAAAGACATCATTTTAATGATTTTACACGCAGCACAATTTCTGGAAAGTTGAAAATAGGCTTTGCAATCTCAAGTTATTATGGAGTTTGGAACTGTGCAGAGTGTTTTCTTCAGGATTTTGGCAATATTTCAAATATATTCCAAATGTACGAGGGCCATCCAGGAAGTAGATTATGTTTCCGTCTGTGTCCGCTAGGGGCGGGGCTAGCGCGGCCATCTTGGGGTCAGAGCGTTGCGCAGCTCAGTCTGCATCTAGCCGTGCTAGTGAGAGGTTCGTGCTGTGCTCCGTTCAGATACTGTGACGGTTTGAAATGTCTGCGTTAATTGAAAATCCCGCGAGCTGCGCTCAGTAATAAGGTTTCTGACTGCAAAAAACCGTAAACCGATAGAAATCTATCGGCAGCTTCGTGAAGTGTATGGGGACAACATTATCACTGAAGGTGGAGTGCGTCAGTGGGTCATAAGATTTCAAAATGGCCGAACCAATGTTCACGACGAAGATCGAAGTGGGAGACCCAGCATAGTGACCGCCGAACTTCTCGAAAAAGTCGATGCTAAAGTCCGTGAAAATCGAAATTTCACAATAACGGAACTGTCTTTCAGTTTTCCACAAATTTCGCGAAGTTTGTTGCACGAAATCATCAGCGAAAAGCTTGGTTACCACAAGTTTTGTGCAAGATGGATTCCAAAAATCTTGACAGAGGACCACAAAAATCAGCGAATGGCTGCAGCGTTGAACTTTTTGGACGCTTACCATAAGGATGGTGACTCTTTACTCGATCGCATCGTTACTGGTGACGAAACATGGGTGAAACATGTGAACTGTGAAACGAAATTGCAATCAATGCAGTGGGGGCACACAAGTTCTCCCCAAAAACCCAAGAAATGCATGCAAACAATGTCAGCAAGGAAGATGATGGCGACTGTTTTTTGGGACAGAAAAGGTGTAATTTTGGTGGACTTCCTGGAAAGAGGCACTACAATAAACTCTCAAAGGTATTGCCAAACTCTCCAAAAACTCAGAAGAGCAATTCAAAACAAGCGCAGAGGAATGTTGAGCTCTAAGATCTTGTTGATTCACGACAACGCCCGGCCCCACACGGCAAATGTCACTCGTAAAGTTCTTGAATCTTTTAAGTGGGAGTTGTTTCCTCATCCGCCGTACAGTCCCGACCTGGCACCGAGCGACTTCCACCTATTCCCAGCAATGAAGAAGTGGCTGGCTATGCAGCGTTTTGATGACGACGCACAGCTGCAAGAAGAGGTAACGAAGTGGTTGAAGGCGCAGGCGGCCGAATTTTTCGACGAAGGAATTTCCAAGCTCGTACATCGCTACGATAAATGCCTTAATTTGTATGGTGACTATGTAGAAAAGTAGTATTTGAGTGTGGCTTTCATCTGTATATAATAAAATTTGTTTACTATACTTTGTTTATTTTTTTATTCCAAAACGTAATCTACTTTCTGGATAGCCCTCGTATTTGTGAACGATTGCCTTCTACTGAGTCATTCCGGAAGTACCTCTTCTTTTTGCAACCAGGAAGATTAGTTGTATTTTTAAACAGCCAACTTCATTCCAAACCTCATTGTCATCATATATTTTGAAAAATGACATTTCAAACCTTATTTGTTATGTATTTTGCTTGATTCTGAGCAAATGATTTTTTTTTAATATCTTATAAAATATGAAAAATCAAAAGCAGCATTTTTGGCATTCTTGCTTTCTAATTCCCAAAAAGGTAAAAATTCTGTTTAAGGAGGAGAAAAAAAAAATATTGACATGTATGAAGATATGGTGATATGATGTCAGAGCTAAAATGTTTTCACAAAATTTTGTTCAGGCAATTTGAATACTGAAGATGCACCATTTTGTGAAAGGCTAGTTGAAGCTGAAGCAAACTGCTGATGGAAGTAAATTGCCAAATATAGAAATCACTAAGAGATGAAATTTGACAAATGATCATGTGAAAAAACTAAGTTTTGTTTAAAAGCTTGATATATATATAGCTTTCAAGTGCTCTTAGAGAATAAAATTTGCTGTGTCACACTAATATCTATAAATTTTTCTCAGATGCATTAAGAAAAAAATATACATTTCTGATGTGAATCATAACTGTCAATGAGAAATGGATTGTTCACAATAACACTGAAAACAAACAATTATCAAGGAGATGTGATAAACTGACTCATAGCACTCCGAAACACGATACTACTAAAAAAAAAGCAATTATAAAATTAATAAAAGAGCCAAAAGATCATGAGATATCCTCCTTTATCTGTTTAAAAAATGTTTGAAGTTCTTCATAAGGTATTATCTTTAGTTTTTACAAAGAAGCTCCCCATACAGTAATCCTTTTGCCACAAAGATACTGTACTATCTATAGGGCAGGTAAGTGGAAGCAAGATTCTTCAGTGGATCAATCAAGTCCTTTGAAATGTGCATTATTCAGAAAAAGGATAGAAAACAGGCTAAGAGAATCTTCGCTAGGTGATCAGTTTTTTTCACTCAGACACATATTAAACTGAAAATGGAATGGTGTCTTAATTTACTTTATTTTTCAGTATAAACTTTCAGGTTTTCTATATGAAATAAACATAAAAATTAACCCGGCGGAAGTCGCACCAAGAAAAGTTACTAGAGTGGGCGCGTGGGGTATCACATACCCCAATGTTTAAAATGTAATAAAAATAGTATTATTTAGTTTGAAAACTTTTTGTTTGTTTGTTTTTTGTTGTGTGTGTATTATAAATAAGTGAATAATAATTGGGTTTCAAAAAATTAATTTCCGAAATAATCTTAGAGTTAAAATTATAATAAATGAAAATAATAAAAAAATAAACATCATGCCTCTAAGTTTCATTGCATCTCTAATACACCATGCTTATTTTATTTCTTCACACTCTGAACGAAATACGTTCATGTGTTCTTGTCACAAAATGTTTTCACATTTTAAACATTGCATTCACATTCTTCTGTGGTTGCGCGAGGGCAAAAAATTTATCACATCTTTCATATTTAGTTGTTTCGAATTTCATGTATTCGTTTCAATTCTTTGTCGAAACTTCTGCTTTTGTTTTGCATGCAGTACGTCAATTTCTTGGAAAAGTATTAATCTCTGATCTTTGTTCAATACTTTTTTTTCATTAATTGTAATGCTAAGTCCTTCAAAAACAGACTTCTGTTTCTGGTTGGTGGATTAGCAGTTGAATGTAATATTATTCAAGCATTTATTACAGCAACATTCAGTGCAGGAAAAAAATTACCATTGGCCACCTCCTTGTTATTCTGGCAATTGAATTCATTTCATCCCCCATATCCACTGCTCCTTTAGTCATATTATTAAAACTATAATTCCTGATGTTTTATTTTCTCCAATATTATCATCTATAGTATGATCGTTATATAATGTTGAAAGCATAAGAACAGTTTTTCTTTTTTTAGAAACATCAGGAATTAATGTTTTATCTTTTTCGAAACCAAAACATTGTAGAAAATATTCTTAGTTTCATCTTCAGTTTCCGAAATGCAATCTTCATCGCTTTCAAATATTTCTAATAAATCTCACATGTGTTGCATCTCCAGTTCATAGGGACTCATTCATTTTACCATAATGCAGTTAGAAAGTTTTAAGAATTTAATGTCAAGTATTTTAAAATCACTTGTGAGTAGAAATATTTACTGTTACACTCTCGAAATAAATTTCTGAACTAAATATTCAGTCAGAAAAACACTTACACGGACAGGCGCGTGGGGTGTGTCATACCCCAGTTCCAACAAAATACCGATAAATCTTTTTCTGAAACACACAGGCAAAGAAAAAGCGGTTCTGAAAGTCAACCACAACTAGAAACTCAGCTATTTTAAACAGAATTTCAGTTTCACAAGTTAGGAATATTCCACTTTTATGTAGGGTTGGGGTATGATAAACCCCAAGCGCTTTCCCGCGGGTTAAGTGTGAATTATCATATGAAATAGACACAAAAACTCTCGGAGACATTTTGACTTAATCTTCCAGTTGTCAGAAAAGGGGTCAAAGACCGGCATTTAAACAGTAAGAAGGTAAATTATAACAAGATAATAAATAAAGCTATAGCAGAATACACATAACATTTCATAAAAAAAGACACAGTATACATTGCATATTACAGAAGCAATAAGGAAAACAATACACAAAACAAAATAAATATACAGCGAAACCGCGTTTTAATGAAGTACCGTATTGGTTAATACGAAATAGATTTCTTCATACTATTCCCATTCAAAAGCTTTCGATCTTTATGAAGATTTCTGTGGTCCGAGTCTGTAAAGCTGAAGGTTCTTTGCAATACATTGCACAGTGTAAACGAATACATAAAACGAATACATAAAACGAACGACATTTGACTGATATAGCTTGGGAACCTGTTATTTTTTAAAATAAAACATTTCCATATCCTATAGAGCACACCATAAAAAAGGTGATACGTAAAAAGGTATCAACTATATGAATTATTTTAATGAAAATCCTATTGTACTGAGGAACTTGTATTACAAAAGTCCAAGATCATTTACAACATCGTAATTATTTTCTTCCATGTTTAGTTTACAAGATACAATCGTATAACAATGAATCTTCTTTCAGCACAAAATATTTAATGAATATAAAAAATTCCTTTACAAAATCACGTTTTCATGCTACTTACAGAATAACACTAGGTTAATTACTTCATAAGCACTTTAAAAGTTTTCGTCAAACTCCATATAAACAAAACATTTCCCACGTTTTCAGAGAGGGTTGCCAAATGTTCCAGACAGACAGACAGACAAAGTAGACAGATGTCTTGTTTTGCACCCGCTATGTCTTTCTGCACCGATGGGCGAAAAATCAAGCATAGGTGCGAAGGAAAGGTATATAGAAAGAGGGGCAATTTCGTATTTGAGGAGAGTAAAAAGAAACTTCGTACATTTTTTACGAGTTCAAAAGGCCAGAAAGAAAAGATGGGACAAAATAAAATTTAAAATAAATGGCCCAGAAATAATAGAGGAAAAAAAAAAAAAAGAAAGGGGCTAAAGAAAGAAAAGGAAAAGAAGTAGAAAATATCCTAAAATACGATTGTGTCCATGAGTGTAGTTAAGGAGTTCATCTGCAAAAATTAGTGTCTTTAAGAAGCAAACTTTAGCTAAGTTTAATTAAAAAAAAAATAATAAATGAATGAATTCCTACATGGTAATGTGTATGCCCTAATCTTGAGACCTAACTAGAAAAGACATATATCATCACAGAGATGTACATAATATTTTAACTAAAGTAACAATAACTATTGCCGTTCCCAAAAAATTCATGTATATTTCAGAAAAACAGTAATTGACAAAATCATAAATCCATACACAGTGTGAGAGCATATCAACAAAAATAAATTATACAGTTTATTTTTCTTAAATATTAGTTTATTAATTTAACAGTTGTAATTTATTATAGTACAAGTTTAATAAATTCCGTCACCCTGTATTTATATTTGATCATAATTCCAAGTTTGATACCTGAAAAAAAAAAGGTCGGGGATCTTAGTTACAAAAATCACAATCTATACTCATCGATGGTCAAGAGATCCCCATTTTTTCCCTCTCAAGAAATTCCTAAGCACGAAGAGGGGGGCCTCCGAAGGGTGTGAATTGCTGATAAGAACGGAGTACTGATAAGGAATGTGGCGTCTCTACGGAATAGTTACGAAGAAAAGAACCACATGACTTGCTACTATTACTAACTATTGTATAATGCTAGAATCTTATGAAAAATATTAAATAAAGAAATTTAATTGCACTCTAGTGATAGAGAAACATATATTGTATAAAGAACAGAATGTTACTTATCTGAATATTCCGTGTCAGGGCCTCTTTTGGATTTCTCGTGTTGATAGTAAGCAGCTAACAAAACATCTGAAGTTTCGAAGAAGCAAAGTTTCCTTTTTTCAATTTGATGAATGAGACATTGCATAGGAAAGGTGAATTAAACTTTTTTAGAGAGTTGAAAATATTTACTGAAACAGTTATTTAAAAAATTTCGAGCTATGTTTAGACACTGCTTCCAGCTTTCGTGATCGCAGCGCCCTCCCAAATGTTCCAAAAAAAAATTATTGCAAAAAATAGAGAGAGCATAGAGATTAGAGGCTTCTCTAAAGATTTAATATATTTTTATATGCTTACTGTGTTTGACCTAAGGCTCCTATAGCCTCTAGAGGAGCATGAGATGTACCCGTATATTATTATAGTTGGATACCTAAGAGCAAGACACCACGAGTGGAACTGCTATAATTCTAACACTATAGGCAATGTTATTTTCAGCTTGGCTCATAAGGCCCCTTTCTACATTGCAGCTCCAAACTGTCAATCAGTTTCTGAAAAGTATGATCAAAATCAATTTTTAAAATGTTGGCTTATTTGTAGCGTATTGTATTCAGCCGATAAAGTTATCGAAACCAGATTTGGCAATAATAGCCTGTACAAAATGTCGTCTGTGGTTTCGAGTATTTGAATTCGTAAAGTCGAGTGAAAAGTTATTCTGTTGATCCTAGAGTAAAAAAAGGAAAAAATGTGATGTACCCAATAATAGCAATTATTACTTTATTCACACTCTTATACTATAATAATGAATCGTTGTAGGATCGGTTTATTATCAATTTATTCTCCTGCGAAACTATGTGTGAGGTTCATAAACAAAAGAATAAATCAGGTACATAAGCGAGGATCTATGCTTCAAAAATTATTAGTAGATAAAGACAAAAAGTAAGTTGTTTTTGTTATCCATGGTTGTTGATAATGTTTGCTTGATTTTCTGCTATGTGAATTTGTTAACACCTTTAAATCCGCAAATAGTTTAGACCAGGGGTTCTCAACCGGTGGTAGGCAAGGGAAATATAGGTTGTATGCTGCCATATTCTGGCGCAAGTACGCTCTCTTCCGATGTAAACAAATCCGAAATTTCCCCAAGTGCCGGATATGGAAACATCCCCAAAAGCAAAGTATTTTTAACTATTAAATTCAAAAATTAAAACCCCAACATCCTGATTGAGTGTTTTCTCTAACACTCGTAAATTTATGCGATCTGAGCTTTGTTCAAGAGTGGTGGTAGTAGAACTTCGTAGTGGTGGTTCTAAAAGGTTTTCAATTTTTGTTTAGATAGTACGCTTTAGTCAAAAGGTTGAGAACCGCTGGTTTAGACTGTAACTCCCAATATTTGTTTGCATACAGAGTCAAGACCGAGGTTTAAATAAATCAATTAGAACTCTCTTAGAATTAGATCTTAGACGGCTCTTATGTGTAATATTTAAATATCATTATAATCTTAATATTTTTCTTTAGCTGAAACTGCATAATAGCAGGATTGTGTATAGTTTGGGATTTTTTTGGTTGATCTTTACAATATGGTAACTGGTAGTTTGGCGACATTTTGGAGGCGATAAAGGTTACTACCTGGGACTTTGGTAATAATGTGAGCAGTACTCAGTTCCGATTACGCATTATTTTGCGTGAGGGAAATGAGAGATCATGGGATATGTCATGTGATATTAATGGACGAATTACGGTTCTTTAATCGGAAAAGGGGGGAAATCGGGAAAAAATCTGGAAATTTTGTATTTAGCTTTATTCTGTGTTGTGTGAAACAGTGTTGGTTAATTTTAGGATCCCATGGCCCTAACTAAAGGGAATTCGAAATGGGTATTTAGGCATTGTGATAAAGAGAAGTTTGCTTTTTATTTAGCGGAGGAAGTATGGAGGAAAAATTCGCAGAAAAAATCTTTCAATAATTTTATTGAATGAATTAGAAAAGTGTATTTGCCAAGTAATGAAGATTCTGAAGAAGATTAGGTAAGTTAGTATTTAATTATTTGAGGATATTATTTTTATGCATTGTTCTAAATGTAAGGTGGAAAGGAATTTGGTATTATTGGGAAAATTGTTATTAGCAATGATTTAGTTTAAAGTAATTAGGATTGTAAGGTAATTTTTATTAATTTAATGTATGTGCTCATTTATATTTTAGGTAGTGTTTTTGAATTTAATTATATTTAATGAAATGATAGTTATTTTGTGAATTTTATATGTTTGTAGGAATTTGGTATAACGTTTTAGTTGAAATAACGTGCATGGAAATAATTTAAATATCTGACACTAAGTATTTGTAATTGTTGCGGTATGAATTCGTTGGTGACGTTTTTATAATATAATAGATGATTTAGAGGTAAAAGTTTTTGGATATTTTATTTATTTTATATGTGGAAATGTTCATATTTGGAAAGGGTAAATACTTTTTCGCGATCAGGTAATTTCATATATGTTCTTTTTACCGGGTTTAAAGATTGAGAAAATTGTCATGCATTTTCGTGAAATTTTTCTAATTTATGAGAAAAAAGCAGTGTGTACATGGATATAGTGAAGAGTGTGCGCAATGCCCATTTTTGTGCAATTCTGGGATGTTTTTTTAAGTAAAAAATAAGTCGGCGTGTACATGGTTTATGGGTATGGTGTTATTTTGAAAAACGCGTAAGGAGTATGGTATTGTGCACTTTTTCCCAAGTTTGCAGTGAATATTTGTCATGATTAAGCAGTTTTGTTTGATAAAATTTCTAGCATAAGTGTAATTCGGCTAGTAGATTGTTGGAAGAAGTGTTCAGTAGATAAAAAGAAAAGAAACATGTCTTTACTTCGTGAAGACAAAATGGCGGCGGGGGAAAAAAAAATAGAGGGTTGCTGTAGAAGAGTTGGTTGCCAAATTTTCGCCAAAAAATCGCCAAGTTACCATAATGTAAAGATCAATCATTTTTTTTTTTTAATATTTTAAATTTTGACAAGTTTGTCTTATAATCGTGTGAAAATAGATTAATTGCACCCTACTCAGTTTTTTTTTTTTTTTTTTTTAATCTTTAAAAGGGAAACTTGGCAAAAGTATATTTTAGAGTACTTTTTGGCGATACATGGATACCGAGTTTGAGCAATTCTTTGATTTGTTATTTTGGCTTGTGTAAAAATCGACGCTACACAAAGCCAAAATAACAAGACAGAGGACGGGGACGCCTGGTGTTTAACAGAGGTAAACAGGCATATGTCCCGTGCCCTCCCCTATCTACCGAGAGTTTATTAAGATCTTCAAACCTCCGTTTGAAAATATCCGATGTTCAACCATACGCATTTCCTTTCTCCAAACTTAATAATGGCTACTAAGTAAACCTTCGGTTAATCATTGGATTATGGTAACTTAACGAAAATTTGGCGACCAACCGTGCTACAGCAACCTGCTAGTTTTTGTTTGGACGCCATTTTGTTTTCACGAAGTAAAGGCGTTTTTTTTTCTTCAGCATTTTTTTCCAACAATCTGCTAGCCAAATTACGCTTATGCTAGAAGTTTTATGGAGGAAAAGTGCTTAATCATGACGAAGATTAGGTGCGAAATTGGAAGAAAGTGCAGAATCGCAAACTGCTTGCCGCGTTTTTAAGAATTGCACATACACGGTATCCATGTACATGTTGACCTATTTTCACTTAGAAAAAAATCCCAGAATTGCACAAAAATGGCATTGCGCACACTCATGACTTTATCCATGTACACTGCTAAAGTCCTAGCTAGTAACCTTTATCGCCTTACCAAAATGTCGCCAAACTACCTGTTACCATATTCCAAAGATTAGCCAAACCTTCATTTACACACCAGTCAATTAATGCTTTTTTCTCTTTCATTCTAAATCCTACAGAAACTTCAAATTAATCTTACCACATTCAGCTAATTTACAGTGTAAACCACAAAATAGCATACTTATCCAACACATACAAGCCCTTACCCAAAATCCAACACACACTTTCCAAATTTTTTTCCGTGATTTAAATTCACAGCAAACAATTACGTCATAATAGAGATTCCATAGCATTCAACTACTCAGGTTGTCATAAAACAGACAACTTGGCGATAAATGAAACAACAACTCTGCGATAATACAAGGGGTACCCTAAAGTCAACTCTTACCAGATTTTTTTTTTTTTAATCCTTAAAAAAATGCATTTGAACATGATTTCAATTCCCCAAAGATAAAATAGAACATAACTTTTTGTTTCTCTTTAATCATTAACATTGTTGTGTAACAACCAAAAATTCAGAATCTGTCTGGGTTCACATTGCATGTTCTGTAAAATTAAAGTGGATCTGGACAGAAAACAAACTTTCAATCACATTTTTAGAAACAGGAAAAGAAGTGTAAAAATACTTGCAAGTGGAATATTTAACTTTAACCCATTAACCGCCAAAACTACAAGGAATGTTTCTTTTCTCATGAAAATAATAACAAATATTAAATTAAGCATTTATAACATAAATTTACATTGAAAATTTAAAAAAAAAATGCTCTTACCTGTGGAAAAAGCGAGTGTTGCTTTCGCGCAACGTCAGCGGAATAAGACTGCGGATGTTTAGTGAGTAGGATTGTACTCGTGTGATGTTTCTTTCGAGTGGAGCGCAGGATTACTTTTTAGCTGTATAACGTTTTATAAATCTGCAAATCACTTTACTTGTAATTAATTCAATATTAAAATATACATTGTATTTCTTTTACAAATACAGATTATTTCAATTGAAAGCTTGAAGCATGAAAAGCTTGATTACAATCATGATGTAAAGTTACATTACATACTTTCCATCTATAAACAGTCTGGCTATGGTACTCTTTACAACAGAGTCTTTTGTTATCAATGGACTTTACGATAAAATGTCTACCAGCTCCATGCAATGGTTTTTTAATGCTGAATTTACTAGGTCCTCCTGTTGCTGATCTATTTCTGGCTAATTCTACACTCTCAATAGGAGTTTGCAAAAGGAATTATGCATTCTCGTGTCTGAAATCTAAAAGAGACTTTATATGTCCAGTAGTAAAAAAAGTGGTGATATTTAGTAAGTTTAGATACAGTCTCACCTCATATAATTTATCAGTATTGTCAATTTGACTATTGTCAAATGCAAATTCTGCTTCATATTCCTGTACTGCAAACGTGATATCCATTCTCGTACAACAGGAACAAAAATGTCCTTATCAAAAGACCAATACATTTTTTCTTGAGGTAAAGAATAATATCCTGTATGCAATAATATTCCAATAAATCTTCTCATATAGGCTTTAGATGCAATAAATTCTGTGCTTTTTTTTGGGGGGGGGCTGAGCGTATATATTTGTCTGTTCAACGAGAAGAGAGTAAATATCTAAACCAAAAAGAAAATCGAAAGTCTGTGCACTAGTTTTACCTTGTATTTTGCCTTTTATAATTTCTCTTCTATCTCTTTTTTCATGTTCTTCCTGAAACATAACTAACAGTTCCTTTTTTATTCACTTCAAGATTTCAGTCTTCTGCTTTTTAAACTTTTTAGTATGGTTATAACTGCTTTTAGAAGGCTGAAACTTAATTCTTACTTAATTTCAACTTCCTCAGCAGTATCATTTGGTAAAATATCATTATCATTATTTAAAATATTGCCATTCCTTATCAATAATAGTAGGAGTTTCATTCTGGTCATTATTAACATTATCATCATCTGTTTCTTCATCAAAAAATCTTTAAAAGGCTTCTTCAAATGTAAGATACCTTGTTCTAGGCATTTTTAAAACAACCAGAACATCCAAAGGAATGAGTAAAAAGGAGATTGACTACCCGTTTCCTGCTGACGTTGCGTCCTGCTGAAACAGCGCAACACCTGTTTTCCCTCCTTCCCAACACAAATATAAACGTCTGACTGATGTAATGTTCTGATAAACGGTGACCTTGACAAAAAATAGATAACTCGTAAAGAGGGCAATTTGCTTCGAAAGTTTTTTTCGAAAACTGAAAATTTTCAGTTTCCGAAATATATAACAGTGGGGGGGGGGGAAAGAAAAAGAAAGAAAGAAATAGAATAAGAAGGCCTTTAGTTTGTTTTTTTAATCTGAAAAAACAAACACAAAATATTCATTGCTACCATAGTGAAGTGGTCATTGCAGAAACCTGTGGTGACATTTGGAATTTGCATGTTTCAGACTGGATGATTATGTTTGCCAGTTTTGGCAATTATACGTACATGGTGGCTACTTTTTAACAAGGAAGTTCCATTTCCCCCCTTCAAGCTCTGAAATCATTTAGTGTATTTATTCATATAGCTAGAAATAAATTAGGGTGCATTTAAAAAAAAAAGTGTTCAAAATTAGTGCATATTTTTCAGGACTGATGAAAAAAAGATTTAATAAATAACCATGTAAATGTTGCACAGTAAATTTGTAAAACAGAAAAATTTGCCTTTGTGATTTGCATTTAAATAGCATATTTTTTTCTCTTTTATAGGAAAAACTGGCATGCCTCAATTCTAGCCAATGTAAGTATTTTATGCATAACTCATACTACATGAACAGTACCTAAATCATACAATTGTATCATGGAGGTAGGAAGTAAGAAGGAGTCGCCCTAAACAAGTTTCTCCGTACCCTGCTCTGAAGCACCGGCGATCCCTACGTGGTGACCAAAACATTGAGTCATTTACCATTGAGTTCTATGGGATTTGACGCGTTCGGGTGTAAATATTTCGTAATTACGTCGCAAATATACATATAAATGTATATATTTTCTTTTTCTACAACACTTCAGAGTCCTAAGTATGTGAAAACAACATATTTTAAACAACATTTCATTCTGAACGGAATTAAATGCTTATACTTTTCACAGGACAGTTTTCTCAGAATGGTTTAATTTGAATGAAATATTTTCACAAGTTTTCGTTAATTACATTAGAAAAAAAAAATTAAGGTAATTCGGTTTTATTCGGTTAAGGTACAAAAATTAAGATCAAAGTTTATTGTATTATTAATATTAAAATTATGCATTATTTCTTTTCTATTATAGAGCTTCTTCCTAAAATACTTTCTTAAATATGACATGATTTTTTGGCTTCTTTTAAATCGAAAAATGTAAGTCAATTTATAATTAATGCTCTATTCGGTTCATTTTAAATTAGAGAATTATTAGGAATTAAATAGTATTTGACTTTCTCTGAACATTTCTGAAAGGGAATAAAATAAGTTTTTTTTTTAAGTATTATTTAAAACTTGTAACTGAGTTATTATAAAATGTAAAGTGAATAATTCTTTTAATTATACTTATCAGATTTTTTTTTTTTTTTACCCTTCATTTCAACAATACATATTCCAAAACTATTTATTACGTTCTTAAGTGCGCATCTCATAGTGCGCATACAATACCTTTTAACAGATTGCTTTCCAATACGAACAATTCTTGCTTAAATAGTTTTATAACGTATTTGTCAACAGGATTTCAATTTATGTTTACAATTCAATATTAAGGTTATTATATATTTAGATAACATTTATAATCATTATAAATTAGATACATTTCATCATTAGATTTCTTCACAGTACTTTCACAGTTGTGTATAAGTGAATAAATTCTTCATTTCAAATACATTTATAAATAATTTAATGAATATTTAAGTATTTTGTCAAAGGCAGATACATGCTTTTTGCAAGCACATGCATAAATACCCATACATATTTCCTATTTATCATTTCCGGCATGCGCAAATCTTTAATTTCTGTGCATTCACTATATTTTTCGTCTAAAGGAATTTACACTAATTTAGCATACACCCGAAAGTTTTACATAAAAAATATATATGAATATAATTTGAATGAAAATTATAATTATTATTTTTAATACCCACTCAAAGGTCAGTTTTTCTTCAAAATTCCTCCACAATGGCATCTCTCTCTTTAGGCAGATAGCCCTTGCATGCATTACTCTATTTAATAAGCCGCCCAACCGGTATAGTGGTTAGCGTTGCTGACTACCGTGCCGAAGGGTCCGGGTTCGAATCCCGGAGAAGGCATGGATGTTTGTATATGTTTAATAAAAATTTGTAAAAACGTTTGTTGTTAATTTCAATATTAAGCATCACGGCTTGGAGGAAACGGCGTTTGCCAAAGTCCTCATCATCTTTCTTCTTGTTTAAAAAGGAAGATTGATACTGATACTGATACTATTTAATAAAATCTTAATCTGACCTATGTGCCTAATTACAAATATTTTAACATACATAATTTTATATTTACATTTAGCCATCAAGTTTCAAACTTTTTAATAAATCTCTAGAAAATAAATTTTGGCAGATCTCTTTTAGCAATTTTCTTAAAATCTATATTTTTGTAGTGCAACAGCTTAGAATTTTATAAAACAAATTCATAATCAAAATCGCTGTTGTTAGTTATCGAAAAATAACCAAGATGTGATTTTTGCGTAAAAGTCAGTAAACTATACAAATTGCTATTATCCATTACACTATGAATGTTTCTTTCATGCGAGAGTGTCCCTTTTTCGATTTCTATGGAACTGTCGTGTGTCGAAATACTATCAGAATCTTGTCAAGCGAGCTTTTGAATGTAAACAAACAACACCCCGTCTGGTGACCCAAGCTTCAAAGCAGTGCTTCACTTCTAGCGCGGAATGGCCCCTCCTCCCTTTCTTACCTCCATGAACTGTATTATAGACTTTTATATTTTCTGTGTAGTAGAACCTTAATCATCCAGACTAAGTGAAACTAAGATTCCATGATCAAGATAAGGTTTGACAATTGATTTTCATATATTTATAATAAAGACTTTTTTAAAAGACATGATTGTTTCACTGATATTATTTATCAAACTGAGAATTTATTTATAAAAATTAATTGTATAAATTACTCTAGTTGTATAGAATTAGTCTTGTGTATTCTTGATGCAGTTTTTACAGAAGGAAAAGAATGATGAGTTATAATTGCAAAAAATTATTTATGGCATGCATATATGTTTTACATTATAGTATTTATCTAAAACATGAATCTGTAAAAAGGGCGAGCCTTTTTTTCCTGTGTTCTGATAGAAATTTTATGCTAATTCTTGTATGAACAGTGGCGTAACTAGAACTCTTGTGCCCTATATATACACAATATAAAATTTTGCGTATATATATATGTATGTATGAGAAAAATAAAGAATATGTAAAAGATTAGCAACTTAAATTAATTTCCCTTCTGTATTCTAAAAATAGTAAATTCTATTTGCATTGCATCATTTCAAGGTTAAGCTATGTCATATGATTCTTATGTAATTCTGTTGATGTAAATGGAACTAAAACATCCAGTACTAATTTTACAGCAATATCAACTATCCAGTCAAAATGCATTGAGAACCAAAAGTAACTAGTTCTGAGTAACTGAGAACGAAAACTAGTTCAGTCTGAATTAAGATTTCACCCTAAACATAATGCACTTGCTTTCTACTCTTTCGTGTAGTTTGACTGCAGTGTGTCTGCTCCTTCTGCTGCAACATGTTTACTGAAATAAAGTTGAATTAAATATACCGTGATTGCCAAATTTCTTATTCATTGTGGATCGGCATTTCACCATTCTACGACATCAAAATTCTAGCTGTTCATTATGCATTCAACCTCCTGCATTCTACTACAGAATCCATTACATATATACATGCAAATGTACAGATGTCATGAAAAAATCCTTTTTGAATCTTTTTAAACCCATTTTACAATCCTTTGTAGAAGAAAGAGTCTTATTCTGTCTGTACATGTACAAAAAAAAAAAAAAAAAAAAAAAGTCCAAATGGATTCGGGAACAGTGAAAATGTGTATTTCTGTTAAAATATGATACCCTAAATTTTTCACAATTACAATACTTCAGTTATTTCATACAACGAAGTAAAAAAAAAAGGACTTTAATTTCATCCAAAAGCGTTGTTTTCAAACAGCTACTTAAACAATCAATTTATTCATTTTGTATTGCAGAACTCAAATACCTAACAGTGCCTGCGGATATTTTTATAACCTCATTCACCACTGTGGCATTTTCTGCCAATAATCTGACATCAGATAAAAAAATTAGCTACGTGTGTATCTGAGGTACTTTCCCTGTTGTCCGTGAAAACTATTGCTATTTTTTGCTAATAATAAAATTATCTTGGTTTAGTCTTTCTAACACTAATGGAAATTGATTACATCTTTTGCAGACTTTTCCAGTATTTGATCAATACACTTATTTGTTTCCCAGTTTTTATTTTTAACAATTTCCTTCGTCCTTTTTTATTCTTATGGATGATGCTTGCCAGTGCTGTATTCCTGTCGACCACATCGTGTCCTTATTTGAAATTAACCAAAATGGTCGAAATAGTCTTCGTAAACTTCAAGTGAATAACAAAGCCCAAATTTCTCTATCTCTAAAACCAAGTATTAATTATTGTATAATAAACAGAAGAAAACTATCTACAGTCTTGATTTTTGGGAAAGTCTGTATCTTTCGGTCTACAAAGGCCAAAATTTAAAATAAATCTCTTTCTATCCTTTTTAAGAATTTCTGGATAAGACTAAATTCAAATGGGTTAATCTTTACGGTTCCGCTTCGCGAATCATTGATTTTTTGAAGCTAAGATTGGAACCAATTTCAAGATGGTGGCAATCCTTTTTGATACCGACATGGGCACCACAAAGGATCGGCAGCAATTTCAAGATGGTACCGATCCTTCAATCCCCTACAGAAACTCAACAAAAAGAAATCAAACATTTATACAAACTCAGGTCCATGTACACATCAGCCTATTTTAACTTTAAAAAAAAATCAGAGAATTTCACAAATTAGGCATTGCGCACTAATTGAACTTTATCCATGTACACATCGACCTATTTTAACTTTAAAAAAAAATCAGGAAATTGCACAAACTAGGGAATTGTGCACTAATTTCACTTTCTCCATGTACACACCGATCTATTTTCACTTAAACAAAATCAGAAAGCTGTAACAAAGTTAAAGCTATCATGTTAACCAGAAAAAATTCGCCACTATCTTGACACACAGACACTAACAAATAACCAAAAATACACAAACACAGAGTAATAAATAACCAAAAATACATATTTCCTAACATAAAAACATTAAACAAAAAAAATTAACATCCAGGCACCAATAAATAAATAAAACGTCAATTCTTTAACATGCCTTTTTTTCACGTGCATACCTTAAAGCCTCCCAACATCATCTCGTCCATGTAAGCAATTCTATTAAATACCTGGCCATTTCAGCTCGTCCACTGTTAATAGCAGATAAATATGTATAATAACGTCCAAGAAAGCCATAAATCTGTTCCTTCTATTTTATGTACTTTGGAAATTATAGTCGTATCCGGAATAATATACTTATTTATAACACTGAGCAAACTTTTAGGCACTACTTTCATGCACGTGAAACCAAACATAGCAATTCAAAATCTCCTGTCTATATGAAAGGGTTACTGTTACAAAAAATAGCCAAAATCTCAACTTATCACAACACACGTGGCAATATTCACAATTTTCCCCAAGACTAGTTTCGCCAACATTATCAACATTAGGGTTACCAAAAAACCTACTTCATGCAGTAAAGTTCAACCAATTGGATGGATATCTTTCACTTTTTATATCTCTAATAGCGGTTGGAATATTTTCTGATAGTTCATCTTCTGTAGTGACTTCAGTGGAAATAGTTTCTGGTACATTTTTAATTTTTAAAATTATATTTGAACTGTCTGATAGTGCATTTAAATGTTCGTTAATTTCTGATGTCTGTTTCTGTTAGCTCAAAGTTGATGCCTGATATTTTTCTTAACTAGAATTTTCAACTTGGAAATACTGATCAGCAGTTTTGATTTGTCTTCGTTGCCCATTATAAAGCATCACATTATTCTTCTTTCTTTTCTGTGCCTTCTTTAAAAGTTTCTTCTTCATATTAGTCTATTCAAGTCTTTTTTAATATTACAGTCTATAAATAAAAAGTTTTATAAGTAGATAAATCATTTAATGAATCAAGAAGAAAATTTTAGTAGTAACATTCAGTATTTTACACCTGTTGAAAACAGTATATTCTGCACTATTTCTTAAAATGATAAGCAATTTATTTCATATTTATCTTTGCGTTCTTGTCTAGTCTAAACATTAATTTTAGTAATTTTACTCTTATCCTATCATCTGTATGAGCTAAAATGAAGACAGTTTCATCGATATACCAAATTCCACCAATGGCCGAATGATTAAGACTGCTGAATAGTAGTAATTCATTCTAGATACGAAAGCTAGAGAATAGTCTAATTGCATAAACATTTTTGTTGCTTTCTCTATGTTTAAGTAAATACGAGTTACTTTCAGTCACATAGCTTGCTTTCCATTAGGCAGACAGTGCCCTCGCCCTTTGACATAAATTGATTTTATGAACAAACAGGATGTCAGCTGTGCAAGACTATAGGGAACAACATCTGGACTAGAAATCGCTCTTTTCATGTTCCACTCCTTTTAAAAATGTAAATAAAATATTTAACTGAAATTTAGCTAGCCATAAATTAAATTACTATTAAAAATTAATTAAATTACTCCTCATGCTTTTGTTTAAATAAACACACAAATTATTTTGCGTCATGAAACAAAACATGATGTTAACGTTCTCCAGGAATGCGTTACTGTACTGCACTCAATTTTGTACTACAGTTTTTAACTTTTGCGAGAATCATTTTAACTACAAGTTACTGGATTAGAGATAAGAGATAATTATGTAATTTTCATACATAATTTATATTATTCTTTATATTTAGATAAATTCTAGAGCTCTTTTATGTTAAATAACCAGTTATTTTGATTTAGAACTTTACTGACACTTCTTCCTTCCGTCTCCATGCCAGAATGCAAATTAACTTTTATTATAAAAGAAGATATTAAACATGTAAATGTAGTTCAGCAATATATTCAAGGGCCCACTAAGCCTTCAGGTCACTATGCAACGGCATTCTTTGCATACCCTTATTTACACCACTGTGTATGAATGGATTCAAAGCAGTTGTTCTGTTTAGCAGTTGTGCAGCAAAACCTGTATTCCTGCAGAAATTGTACCATTTTTCTCCATGGCAAATCCAAGAAGCACATGTTAAAAAAACTAAGATAAAAATATCACAATTTGTATATAAAAATTACTGAAGCATGTAATGCAGCAAAAAATGCACATGCAAAAATGAGGATGTGATTTATAACAATTGAATAATTGTTAAACAGATATTGCTTGAAAAATTGTTATGGAAATAGTTGTCAAAATTTGGCTCATCTTTAAAATTTATTAACTTTTATAATAAGTATATCTGCATCTGCTGTAATACTTAAATACCAATTATAACCTTTAGTAGTACAAACATAAAATTGGATAGCTATGTGATGTGCAGTGCAATCTACCAATTTTAGTTTTAATATTTATATTTCATTTATTTAAACCAAATTGTTATTCATTATTAAAATATGTTCTTTTATTCAATAGATGTCTCAAATAATTCATAAAATATTATGCTCATTTTTCATTGTGTTGTAATTTGTCCATAACTCAAGGAATTTTGTTTTTCAGAAACCCACAAGTAAAAATGTATTCGAGAAAGTTCACAATCCATCCAGAAGGGAGAATGTTTTAAATTCTGTTTTTATTAAAAATATAACAGATGTATTATCAACTGGAGAGGTAATCCCAGAAATTCTGGGTTATGGCATTGAAATAACAGGAGTAAGTGTAATTTCATTATTATAAACTGTGTGTTGAAGATTAAAAAGTATTTGTACATTAGAAATTTTATTACTGAAGTTAATTCCAGTTATCTTCTTTAATAATACTTTTTTAGTATTCATTTCTGCTTACTATTTCTGTTTCTTAATGTGAGTGAAGTCTAGTCTATGTGGAAGTGCATAATTCTTTCTACCAAATTTTGTACCTGTCGACTCACAAGGAAGCAGTCATTGCTAGCATAAATGTAGTAATGAAATGTAGCCTTAAACAGCATTAAAAATCCTCTGTAGTGCTATTTTTATGCACTAAAAGACAACTTAATCCTATGATTATTCAAGCAAATCCTTTTGTTACAGATAATTTCTTTTGCATAAAAAAATTTAATGCCAGATACTTTATCATTTAACAGCTATCATATAAAATCAGAAAATAATGAATCACAGTATCATGATAGATGATTTGTTCTTACTGTCATTAATACACTTCTGCAAAATTTGGCTGCTGTTCCCATTAATGGAGAAGTTACAGGTTGGTATCAGTTATCCAAATTTACATTTTCTTGTTGATAATTGATCTGACAACAAGACATTTCTGAGTAACAAAATATTTCAAGTGACATTTTGGTATCTTTTTCTGTTTCTCTCCTCCAGTTCCCCCTTCGCCCCAGATCTGTAAAAGAAATATCTCCAGTGATAATCATTTGTATTTTTCCTTTTGATTTTTCAATATAACACTTTTGTTTGTAAAGTTCTTATTTTAAACTAACCAGTTGTTATGGTTTGGATCTTTACTTTAACTTCTTTCCATATTCCTAAATCTTTCCGTATTCCTAACCAGAATGCAAATTAATTTGGGCATGTGTTTAAGCTGAGGTTTTTTAATCTTGAGAGAGAATGTTTCTAGCATGCACAGTACATGCTTGGATTTTACCAGTTCTAGCTACTTGTAACTAATTTGGCTTTGTATTGTAACTGTGTTGGTCTTGTGAAAACTTTAAACTTTTATGCCATTAAATTATTAAGCCAGCTTCAGCATAGTATTTAACTGTTTTGTCTCTGGCTGCTGATCAATGTTTTAAATTTAGTTCCCTTTTTTGCATCACTATAAGCTGTGGTTATTGTGACATGTGCCCTTATGTTCAAAGTTATTTTTAAGTAAAGAGATCATTTTATAATCTTCCTAACACATTCTCGTTCTGTCTCAGACATAGTCATAACTTGCCACACAGTTGTTAGGGTTATGGATCTGTGGGGAATCTTTTCCCTTTATCCCCAACAGATGGCAACACTATCCAAAGCTTGATTTCTTTCGCCATTGCAAAGTGCATTCTGAGATTTTAGACAAGGTTCTGTGTTTTAGACACTGCTATGAGACTAGCATGGGATCTAGCTTCTTTAATGGCAAAAGCAATAATTAATAATTAAAATTCTGTATTTGTTATTGAATTTTGCTCTAAGGCTTTAGCATCTTTTCTTCCTTACACAAGAAGTTAATGCAGAAAAGTGTTTTAAGGTACTCCTTGGCGATTTTTTGCGGTACATGGATACCAAGTTTGTGCAATTCTTTGTCTTGTTATTTTGGCTTGTGTAGCAGCAATTTTTGGTCTAAAAATCACTGCTACACAAAGCCAAAATAACAAGACAAAGAATTGCACAAACTTGCATTGTGCACTCCCTTCCCTTTGTACACATCCATATATTTTCACTTAAAAAATCAAAGGAACACCCAATTCTATAATACAGGCAAACAAAACATACATAATCTCAATAAACTACATTTTAAACCAAATAATAAAATAACATAAGAAAGGAAAAACATGTTATACATTTAAGCACTACAAAAAGCAAATATCCACTTACCTTATTTAGAAGTTCCTTCGTCTTTAGTCTGTGGCACACAAAATTCCTTAACAGCATTAAAAAACTTCCTAAAATTATCTGAACTCGAATCCGTATATCGGCATCGCCACATCTGAACCTTTCTTCCTACAAACTCATTCTAATCCATCTAAACGGATTTTACATTTGATTAGACGCATGTCCTTCCTACCTACAGGAAGACACTTATAATGGCTACTAAGTAAACCGTCATTAGTCAATTAATGCTCTTTTCCCTTTTTGTTCCAAATCGTACAGAAACTTCAAATTAATCTTACTATTTTCAGCCATTCTACCGTCTAAACAATAAAACCAACACACACCACAAAAGCATTTACAAAACATCCCATGATTCAAAATTTCCCCAAATCATGCACCCGATTACATCACTATAGGGTTTCCATAACATTCAACTACTCAGGCTACCATAAATGAAACAACAACTTGGCAATAAATGAAACAACAACAACTTCACCATAATACAAGGGGTACTTTAAAGTCTACTCTTACCGTTAATGCAACCGATCTGATTATAAAAAATGTGAACGTATACAACTGCCATTACCACAACTGATGACCCAGTTAGTCCAAACTGAAACTGCTTCGCACAGGTGGCTTGCAACATAGATTAGTTACTCGGATTATTTGCTATTATGTTCTCTGCTTTCTACGAAATGGGTGAGAAAATTCTTTTTTAATCCCTGTGGACAGTAAATAATATTTGTAAACGGATTTTAATTACATGTCTAACTGAGCTATGTCATTGAGTTTTAAATAATTATTTTTCTTGCATTATTTTTATTTTAAGCAAATCATTTATGTTTCTAATAATAATATTACACCAATTTTGCTTTTTCACGTATTACATTTTCTCGACATAGTGAAATTCTGAGTATGATACATGTGATATTTATGTAAGCTATTATTTCACTTTCATATTTTATTCTTGTGTTATTTTCCCGTATTCCGTGTTCAATCAATCCCATTACCATGCTCTTTTGCAACCGAACAAATTTCACGTGTTGTGGTAAAACCACCTCTGTTTTGGAAGAACAATCCAGCGGTACGATTATCTAGCTGGAATCACAGTTTGCTGTCACTGATATTAAAAGGAATGTCACAAAATATAATTAGTGGCGGCAATCGACTCTGAAGCACTTAACTGTGTGTCTGATATAATACTTAGTCCCCTAGATACAAATAAGTATGATAGACTCAAAAAACATCTTGTTGAAGCCCATTTTGAGAAAATAACTTCAGGGACTTGATATTGGCAACCAACGCCGCTCTCAGCTTCTCACACGTATGTGTGCGCTAGCTGGTGACAACATGGAAGATCCCTTAGTAAAGTCAGTTTGGCTTAATAGACTCCCAACTAATACACAAACAATTTTGGTAGTTCTAAATGAAGACCTTTCAAATCTTGCTGCCATGGCAGATAAAATGCATGAGTTACCCACTTTCTCTAGCTTAAATAATGTTAACACATTAGATCCCAGCAGTACTTCATTGGACCAAATAGGTTAATGACCTAAAGGCATTTATTAAGAGACATCATGATCATTCTCAGAGTCAACAAAAAACCTTGCAGATGCAGCCCTTCATGAAATAATTCAGTGTTGTAATAAGGATTATTGTTTATATCATAACAGATTCGGGGAGAAAGCGAGAAAATGTAGCCCCCTTGCATATATAAACAACCAGAAAACTAGAACAGCGTTCATCTGCTGGCCATGTATGTGATCACCTTATTAACCGCATCCTCTTGGCCCACCCCAAATCCAAGTTGCAATTTCTTATAGATACTGGCGCCGACATTTCAATCCTCCCTAGACAATACACGCCTTGCTCAACAAAGTCAGACAAACTAGTTTCATATGCTGCAAACGGTAGCCAAATTTTGACCTTTGGTAGCAAGTGCCTTACCCTCGATTTTCGGTTAAGACATCTTTTCACTTGGAGTTTCGTAGTGGCTGATGTGAAACAACCAATCATTAGAATAGACTTTATAAAGCTCTTCAATTTACTAATCGATGCCCAGAACCTTCCAAGTCGACAAAAAAAACCCAGTTGACCTCTCGTGGTACAATTTCTGATTGTAGCCAAATACCATCTAAATTAGCTATCCTTTTTCAGGACTCCAGATTCTCAGATATTCTCTCTCTGTATCCTCAGCTCACCAACTTTTCACAACCCAATCAAGACCCTCAAAACCCTGTAGTTTATTATTTTATTGAGACTAAAGGACCACCAATTTTTGCTAACCCACGATGTCTGTCAACTGGTATGCTCCAAGCCGCGGGACTAGCATTTGAATTTCTTATGTCTCAGGGTGTTATTCGGCCATCCAAGAGTCCATCAGCCAGCCCTTTCCATATGGTCGAAAAGTTAATTGGTGGGTGGCACTCCTGTAGCGGTTATCATCACCTTAATACAGTCACTGTGCTTAACCACTACCCAATGCCTCACACCAAAGACTGTACACTGTTTCTTTTATGAAATAAAACACTCTCAACCTTGCTTGAGCATATCGCCAGATTTCAGTGCATTCTGATGATATTGAAAAAAATGGGAATAAGTACCTCTTTTGGCCTATTCGAATTGGTCCGTATGCCTTTTAGCTTAGGTAATGCTGGGCAAACCTTCCAGCGTTCCATTCACCAAGTCTTGTCCAATTTAGACTGCTGTGTAGCCTATTTAGATGATATAATAGTCGCTTCCAAGGATAAGAACGAACACACTAGGCACTTATGTGGAGTTTTCTCCCATTTACATCCCATGGTTTACAGCTAAACCCTGCAAAATGCATACTGGGACAGACCACTGTCATACTCTTGGGTTGCCTAATAACCTCCTCTGGTGTTCAGTCCTCACCAGAAAAAGCTAAATTCATAGCTGATTTTCCCAAGCCAGAAACTATATCCCAACTCCGATGCTTTCTTGCAGTGTTAAACTTTTATAAGAGATTTTGTAAAAAAGTTGCAGACTCTCAAGATCCTTTACATGAGTTTCTCAAGTACTCTAAGAAAAATGAAAAGCACCCAGTCCCTTGGACATCTTCACTGTTTAAAAATGCAAAGCTGATCTCACGCAAGCCGCAACCGTCGTTTTCCATGCACCTGGCTAGAA